CCGCCATATTCAGGGAGCCGCCATATTTAGGGAGCCGCCATGTCTAGGGAGCCACTATGTCTTGGGAGCCGCCACATCTAGGGAGCCGCCACATTCAGGGAGCCGCCACATTCAGGGAGCCGCCACATTTAGGGAGCCGCCACATATAGGGAGCCACCAGAGTTATGGGAGTCACAGAAGCTCCTCCAATAATAGGTGTTGTTGTAGCTACCAAAGCTATAATATAATATCTCAGAACTATGCATTCTGAACAGTGTATTTAGTCTAGAATATAAGCATCTTATTATAGACCTATTACTTTCTAAAGTCACTAGTAAGTAGCTCATATGGCAAGACTTTTGCACTTTTAGTCTCTCTGAACCTCATAGATTTACCCCCTTAAAGCCCTCGAAGTATGCCTATAGTAGCTCTCAGAATGTATCTGAATCAGTCACCATAGAGCTTTAAGAATAAGGCAGTGTATTGAAAAAACAGCTAGTATACACATGCTTCTTGTGGCTCCCTAGGTGTCCTATAGTGGCTCCGTGGCGGTTCCAGGCGGCTCCCAGCGGCTCCCAGCGGCTCCCAGCGGCTCCCAGCAGCTTCTCAGTGGTTCTCTATATATCTAGGGCTCCCTGGCATCCTGACTTGATTTCGGAAAAGTGGGCCCTGGCTGTGTGTTGAATGACATGTGCCACGGCAAAGGGGTATTTATTGTTGTGAGAATAGTCATGGCAAATAGACATTGTTGTGGTAAAATGAGTTTGCCATGGCAGTGGCCAGTTGTTGGGGCCATTTTACAACAACAACGTGTCATGGCAAATGCCTTGGACCCTCTCAGGCTGATCTTGGCCTTGCCATCAATCCTTGGTCATGTCTGAGAACCTGCGGACCCACACTGATCTTCATTCCCATCAAATCAGCCCTCTACTGTTCGCTGCCCTCCCCTGGGCTGCTCCCACCCCTACTCCTGACTGTATATATATCATAGTGTATGAAATGACTACAGCTACCGGTATATACCCTGTAATCAGTACAGCAGGCCCAGCAGGGCCCAAGATAGATTGGCGCTTTTTTGTGCTGGCAGCTCACTACTAGTACAGATTGATCAAGGGTAGATACGGATAATCGCCGCGGTGAAAGCCTGCGCATATGTACCAGAC